GGGAGGAGAGGAGGAGAGAGAGAGTTTTTGTTGTTCCACTTGTTCATGCATCCATTGGTTGCTTTCTGTATGTGCCCTGACCAGGGATCAAACCCACAACCTTGGGGTACCGGCACAACACTCTAACCAACTGAGTTACCCAGCCCGGGCAGGGAAGGCTTTTCTGAGGATATGGCTCTTGAGCTCAGAATTAAAGGATATGAAGCAACTACCCTTGCAAGAGAGAACCTTCTAGGCAGAAGGAATCACAAATAATATGGCCTGGGGATGAAAACAAGCTTGGTCTGGTGAAAAGAAAGAAAGAAAAGAAAGAGAGAGAGGAGAGAGAGAGAGAGAGAGAAAGGGAGGGAGGGAGGGAGGGAGGGAGGGAGGAAGGAAGGAAGGAAGGAAGGAAGGAAGGAAGGAAGGAAGGAAGGAAGGAAGGAAGGAAAGAAAGAAGAAAGAAAGAAAGAAAGAAAGAAAGAAGAAAGAACGAAAGAAAGAGAAGGAGGGAAGAAAGAAGAAAGTAAGGAAAGGAAGGAAGAAGGAAGGAAGGAAGGAAGGAAGGAGGCGGGAGGAGAGAGAGAAGGGAGAGGAGGAGAGGAGTGAGAGGAGAGGAGAGCGGAGGGGGAGAGGAGGGAGGGAGGGAGGGGAGGGAGGGCGGAAGGGAAGGAAGGAGGAAGGGAAAGGAAGGAAGGAAGGAAGGAAGGAAGGGAGGAAGGAAGGAAGGAAGGAAGGAAGGAAGGAAGGAAGGAAGGGAAGGAAAGAAGGAAGGAAAGGACAGGGGAAAGAAAGAAAGAAACGAAAGATAAGAAAGAAAAGAAAGAAGAGAAAGAAAGAAAAGCAAGAAAGAAAGAGAAGAAAGGAAGAAAGAAAGAAGGAAAGGAAAGGGAAAGGAAAGGAAGAAAGAGAAGGGAAGGACAGAAGGAGGAAGGAAGAAGGAAGGAAGGGAAGGAAAGGAAGGAAGGAAGGAAGGAAGGAAGGAAGGAAGGAAAGGGAAGGAAGGGAAGGAAGGAAGGAAGGAAGGAGGAAGGAAGGAAGGAAGGGAAGGAAGGAAGGAAGGAAGGAAGGGAAGGAAGGAAGGAAGGAAGTAAGGAAGGAAGGAAGGAAGGAAGGAAGGGAAGGAAGGAAGGAAGGAAGGAAGGAAGGAAGGAAGGAAGGAAGGAAGGAAGGAAGGAAGGAAGGAAGGAAGGAAGGAAGGAAGGAAGGGAAGGAAGGAAGGAAGGAAGGAAGGAAGGAAGGAAGGAAGGAAGGAAAGGAAGGAAGGAAGGAAGGAAAGGAAGGAAAGGAAGGAAAGGAAGAAATAAAGTCCATTGTGAATCAGAGAGTAAGCCGAAGAGAGAGTCTGAGGGTGAGGCTGGGAGAGGAGGGAGACAGACGGGCCAGGCCAGATGATGGACGGACCCACAGGCCACAGTGAAGAGTCCCATTTCATTGTAATGGGCAGCCCCTGCAGGATTTTAAAACAGGAAAGTGACCTGCTCTGATTTACGATTTTAAATGACCACACAGGATCTACTGAATATCTTAGGAGACGTCCTTTAAATAAATACTAACATCAATACACCAAGAGTATGAAAGATGCCAACCGTTACAATTCAGATCCTAGAAAGTATAAATCCAGTTTCACATTCAAGGTCAAGATCATCATGAACACATCTGTCCCTACCCACCCCACTCCCTAAAGAAATAACCACAGAGATGTCAGTGGTGTTTTTGATCACATGCACAGTCTGCTGAGGTCACCATTTGTTACAAGAACATTTCCACTCAAATCCCTACCAAAATAAAAAAAACCACTCCATAGGCAACTATCAAGGCAAGATATCATTACAAGCATTTCTGCTTTCCACTGTGGCTTTTTACTTTAAGCTCTGGAAAACCATACTATGCCTGCAATTAAAAACTGCATTTTAAAAATCTAAATGAGAAATGGCTGATGTCCAGGAGGGAAAACTGAAAAACCAGACAACACTGGACCTTCGGGGATGTGAAATGGACACGGCCAACCACCGCCCAGTGCTTTGCTGCTCATTACAGGCCCAGCTCCAGGCACCAGGCTCCCGCTCAGCAGTAACTTTGCTTTCTTCGCTTAAAGGGGAATCGGAAGAATAAGTGATTTCTACTGTCTGTCTCTATGGCAACTAGCACCCTAATTTCACCTCTTAGATGGCAATATACCTATTCACTGAATAGCTTTCAGTTCCCATTTTTATGATGAAAAATTGATTTCATGGGAAATGAGATATAGGCAATAAGCGAACTTTTCCTCCTGCAACCATGGAGTAGAGCTCATCAGAGGGTCCGTCATTCATTAGCAGAATACACTCTGTGGGGTATTCTTCTTTTCCCATTACAGGATGTTTATCCCAAATGTTATCTACTTGTTTTTTTAATGGTTAATACTAGTATTATTCTTTTCTTCCTTAACATTTCTTTTTATTCAACTAGGAAAAGTACTCAGGTTCATTGTAAAGAGTTAGGTAAATATAAAAATACATAGAGAAAAGTGTACACAAGAAAATAAAATCCCTCTTACTTAAAACCACTAATAATATCCTGCTAGCATTTTAGGTGTGTAGACGTATAAATACAGTTAAAAGACTGTCGGGTATGTTTTTGGAGCCAGAGTTTGTCACAGAACAGATATGCGTTCTCCACATCATCACATATTCTTCCACTGCATGACTTTAACAGTTTCAACAGAGTGCATGGCATGGTTTACTGTATTTTATTTAACCAACCCCTCTATGTTGACATTTTAAAAGATAAATATTTATGTACAAGTTTGTTGGCTTAGAGAATAATTCTCTGGAAAGGAAATATATAGATCAAACAGGATAAACATTTTAAATTCTCTTTCCAAATTGTTCTCCCCCTAAATTCTATCAACTTATCTTCCCACTAGTAGTAGATGGATGGCAGTATCTTAAATTTTCTTAACTTCCTTACCAGAGGTACTGTTTAAAAAATAACGCCAATGTACTGGAGAGGGGAAGTATGTCACTACATTTCTTTAATATCTTTAATTTAAAACATATTTCAAGGTGAAAAGTTTTTACATTTCCATAATATTTCTGGGTAGAGGAGACACATGAATTGCCCGTTCACCTTTGAAACCAAGACTATTTGTTATCCCCTAATGCCCATTCTCCCTTCATTTCTCGGTAACAGAAAAGATGGACTTTCAGTTGAACATTTGGAAATAAAGACATTTTCCATCCTCCTTTACATCCGAGTGTGTCTTTGTGTCAACTCCAGGCTCTATGCTATTTCAGAGTAATGTCCCCAAAGGAAAAGGATACGGCCTATAGTTCCCCTTTATCCTCCCTGCTAGTTGGAATGTAGGTGCTACGGTTGGAGCTTCAGCAGCCGTTCGGACCGTGAGGATGGGGTAGGGATGGTGGAACAGAAAGCCAGAGGAAGCCTAGGAACTTTGCAGAAGTGCCACCTTGGATGGCTGGTCTCCAGATTTTTTTTAAATATATTTTATTGATTTTTTTTTTTTACAGATAGGAAGGGAGAGGGATAGAGAGTTAGAAACATCGATCAGAGAGAAACATTGATCAGCTGCCTCCTGCACACCTCCTACTGGGGATGTGCCCACAACCAAGGAACATGCCCTTGACTGGAATCGAACCTGGGACCCTTGAGTCCGCAGGCCATCGCTCTATTCACTGAGCCAAACCGGTTAGGGCAGGTCTCCAGATTTTTATGTGAGAGAATAAAACTTCGTATTTTACAGCCATAATTGGCTTGCATTTTAGTTTCATGAAGCTGAATTTGATCCTGACTAATGTAAGATTTTCCTCCCCATATTTTTCCCTTATCAATTTTCAAGTACTCTTTCTATTTTAAGGATATTTATTTATCTGGCTTACACATTACAAATTTTTCTGATTTGTTATTTGCTACTTCATTTTTTATGGAAAAATATAGTTATTCTTAAGTTCAATTGCTATATAAATCCATTACACATTCAGGAAAATTAGAGAATAGTATTAGCTTAAAAATATAAATTCCTATATCCCAAGAAACCAGAAACACCAATCAGAAAGGATATATGCACCCCTATGTTCATAGCAGCACAATTCACCATAGCTAATATCTGGAAACAGCCTAAGTGCCCATCAGTAGATGAATGGATTAGAAAACTGTGGTACATCTACACGATGGAATACTATGCTGCTCTAAAAAGGAAGGAACTCTTACCATTTGCAACGTCATGGATGGAACTGGAGAGCATTATGCTAAGTGAAATAAGCCAGTCAATGAAGGAAAAATACCACATGATCTCACTCATTCATAGATAATAGAGACCATTATAAACTTTTGAACAATAATAGATACAGAGGCAGAGCTGCCTCAAACAGATTGTCAAACTGCAGCAGGAAGGCCGGGGAGGGTTGCGGGGCAGGAGGTAGGGGGGTAAGAGATCAACTAAAGGACTTGTATGCATGCATAGAAGCATAACCAGTGGACATAAGACATTGGGGGATAGGGGAGGCTAGGGGACTGTCTAGGGCGGGGGGATAAAATGGACACATATGTAATACCCTTTGTAATACTTTAAGCAATAAAAAAAAAAATATATATATATATATATATATATATATATATATATATATATAAATTCCTAAAAAATATGTCTTCTCAACCATCATAAGGCAGCACAGAGGAGCATTCATTAAGTTCACTCCCAATGGGAGAGCAATTAAATGGCTCTTTTGTCAGCTAACGTTATTTAGATGATGGGATATGGATGCTTTCGAGAACTTAATCAATAATTCATTCTTTGCTAAAAGAGATTTTCCATTTGCATCCTGTGGAGCTCGGGGCGCAAAGCACAGCCTCGCAGGTCCGCCCGGGGCCTAGGGGAAGCCGAGTGGTTGGCCCTGCCTCCATCCCCAACTCAGGTTTCAAAGGCAACCACTCAGTGTCATTCATTAGAGTCCCTCAAAAACACCTCCGTATGATTTCCGCGCCACACACAGATCAGAACTACAGTCATCACTTCCTACCAGATCGTAAGCAGCCAGCATCTTTTTCTGCACGTCTGGAATCGCCCCCAGCGGCTCCAGATAAGGAAAGCTGTCCCTCATCACAAGGGAGACGGAGGGAGTGCTGTCACTGGCGATGAGCCGGGAGGACAGAGTCAGCAGGCACTGCTTCAGACTGGCGATGGGAGGAAGGCCACATAGCTCCTTCACAGACACGATGGCGTTCTGTGGGGAAGGAAACACGGAATCACACGCCTGACCACGTGACACATCACCCCGGCACTTCTAGGTTCCTTAAATGTACATGTAATTTAAAGTGAACTGGATTATAACCAATCAAAAACGTTGTGATATGCACCAAGGTAACCCAGAGCCAATTCACTGTTATACTTCATCTTCCTTCATTTCTAGGAACTGCCACAAATATGCACAAAGCCACTCAGATTATGCCCCAAGGCCACCCCGCGCTTTTCAACGCAGAGCCCTGGAATCGTCACACAAATTAGCACTGGCTGGTCATGAGTGTCTTACTTGATTTGTATCATAATGATCATTAAAACATGTCAGCAGCGGCACACTGGAGTGCATCTCCTTTGAGCTTTTCCCCTCGGGGTAGCAGGCTATTAAATACCGTCCTCTTTTGACTAACCATCAATGGTATTCCTCTGTCATCCCAGCAGAAAAGCACCTGGCAGAAGCGCGTGCTAACACACAGTTCATGAAGAACTGCAGTTAAAAGCCCTGTTATGGGCTTTCAAAAATTCATTTAAAGTCATAAGAATTATAACTATTCTTTTTTATTAATGGTGAACAGTACTGAACCTGTATGTGCCTCATGGATTTAGTGACAATGATGGTATTCATTTCTCTACTGATTAGGCTCCAAATAATCTGTAACCCCAAGGACTTTATGTTGAGATGATATAAATTATCAATAATACTTGGGAAAACTTTATCCATAGCCAACTCTCCTTAATATGTGTTTTATTTTAATATATTTTTATTGATTTCAGAGAGGAAGGGGAGGCAGAAAGAGGTAGAAACATCAATGATGAGAGAGAATTATTGATTGGCTGCCTCCTGCAGGCCCCACACTGGGGATCAAGCCTGAAACATTGGCATGTGCCCTGACCAGGAATCAAACCGTGACCTCCTGATTCATAGGTGGAGCCTCAACCACTGAGCCATGCCAGCCGGGCCTTAATATGTATTTTAAATACATAATACATGCAATGTATATATTTCAAGAATTACATAGAAATATATAAAATCTACTTCTAACATATGAAGTTATATGTAAAATTGACTTATAACTAATGTAATATAGGGATGTATATTAGTTATAGAATTATGTCAGAAAGTCAGTAGAGCCTATTTTTAAATAATCCTTATAATCTAAGTATTTATGTGTGATTTACATACCATATTATTTTTTTTTGGCATTTTGGCTATTTAAAATTGTTTTAAGCCTATCCTAGAACTTCTTTGTGAAATAATGTAAAAGCAATCTTTTCACCAACTGATGGGATGGAGTTTGACATCACATGACTAACAACCATGAATGGTCATGGACATTCACAGCAGGCAATTCTGGATTTAAAGCCGAACATTACTATTTATTCACTGTAATATCTGGACAATTACTTAACCACTTCAAGCTGGATTTCTATTTTGAAAGTAGGGTTTTTTGGGGAGAGTTACTAGTAAACTGTTAGCTAGAGGGGGCCCTGAAGCACATGCCTCTCCTGTTTCCTCTCCTGCGTACACCGCTGCCGCTTCCGCAAACCCACACGTCGTGGGAACTTCGTGAGGACTTGGTGTCAGATGGCTGCACAGTGAATAAGTATATTCAATAATACTGAAGAAAGAAGCCTACAGCCATCTCTGGTTACAAACACTAATGAAAGGAAGGAAACTAACATTGGATTTCTATATGCTGAGACTGGGCCATTAACACACACTCTCATCTAATTCTCATAATAATCCTGTGATGTACGTATTACCATTTTTCTTACCTTATGTGAAGAAAAGTGATGGTGAGAGACCTAAAATAATTTGCTCAAGATCACAAGGGGATAGAGTTTAATCAAAAATCTTCTAGTATATCCTTTCCATTAAACCACATTTCTAAGAGAAGACTAAATAGTTTTCAACAAGTTCATTTTTGTTTAGTTTTGCTTGCTCTCGTGGGGAGTAATTTATTATTGCTGTACATTTAAACAACAAAATCTAATGGGCATTACACTCATTTTATATGACTTCAAATTACCTTCCATGTTCATATCGGCAAATATTTTATATATACAGTTGTAATGATTATGCATGTGTTTGTATGTATATATATTTTATATGTAATATTTTCTATTCTTTTCACATTTCATATACACATTCCCATCTATCAGTTTAGTTATATGCTGGGGATATTTAATAGATTTGCAGCATTCTGCTACAGTTAAACTCTGTTAACTAGCTTAGTGCAGGCCAAAGTTAACATAGCATTACAATTAGAAACATAAAATAGATCTGCTTTATCACAGGCAAAATGGAACTTAACTCAGGGGTATTGGGTACATTCCACCTTCCTGATCATTATTTGAGGAATCAGATCATTACCAAATCACCATGTTCACTGGTAAGAGTGGGGTCAAAGTAAGCAGGGGTCAGGGAGGCAAGCAGGGATTTCTCCTACCTGCATGTTTTCTCTCATATCTATGGCTTCTCGTAAGGGATGCACTGCTATTTTAAAGATGTCATCTATGGGTTTGAGACCGACGGTCCTGAGCATGGTGTACTCTCGAACTTTCTTCCCCATCCTCACAGAGAGGCTGCGCTTCTGCGCCTTGCCCCCGCCGCTGCGGTTCGTTATTGCTATGTGGACAAAGAGGGTCACGTGCTCCATGATGTCCCCCACGAAGGAGCGCAGGGGGACGTGCCGGTAGCCGGGCTGCAGACACTCGAAGGGAATGGTGTACTGCCCGATGAACTCATCCCCAATGTAGTCGTCATCCAGAACCACAAAACGGATCATGGCCAGCTCGGGGAGGTTCACCTGAAACTCAAAGGTTTCATCAAAAATGGGATTGTCACTGTTTTGCTGCACAGTTTTCGTTCTTTGCTCCGAGCAGTCCGCTGGAATGCCGTGTATCTCTATACACACATAGGGATCTAGGACATCCCCTTTGGCACACGCCCCCTTGGGCTTGGGGAAATTCTGGCCGCTGATGATCTTGATGTGAAGAGCGAGAGGAGACACCCCCGGGACAACGCCCTTCGTGTTCGCGCTGAAGTAAGACACTTCATCCCGCATGATGGACGGCCTCAGCACATAGCCGCAGCCTCCGTTCTGAAGGAACCAGCCCGTGTGGAGGTCCATCATTGGGCCCGGCGTCTGAAAATTCATCGCCACAATCTGGCAGCCACAATTCCAGAAGTCCTGTGGGTTCAAGTTACTGGAGTCAATCCTCATGGCACTTGGATAGATTCTGGATAAGAACTTCTTATTGTAATTTACAAAATCCTCGGGGTATTCATTTGCAATTCGGCTGGCCTCTGATTCGCTAAACGAGCAAATCTCCCAGTAGTTTTGGCTTCTCATAGACAGCTCGAAATCCCTGTACTGAACAGATTGACAAATCGATACCAAGTCAGAGAGCTCCCTGCACAGCCAGATGTGTTTCTGCTCACCATTGTAATCTACCGACATCCTTCGCGATATTTCGGCTTCTTCATCTTCATCTGTTACCTCCCCTTCTGAAGCATTGGAGTCAGAAGGCAGTTTCTTTCCTTTCACGATGATCATCCTTTTTAATTTTTCGGGTGATGGGAGGTAGGCTTCTGACGGCGAAGGTGCTTCAGTATAGAGTTTAGCGCCAAAGACCTTTTTCATCTGCTGGGCCATCACCTTCTGCTGGGGGAGCGAGCAGTGGTTCCCCAAGCACAGAATGAGCGGGTACTCGGAAGCCACAAAGGCAAATCTGTTGATCACCTCTACGACACTTCGGAAGGACAGGTGTGTGCTCATGTTATTTCGGTTACAGAGGACTGGTTCACCGTCGGAACCATCACTCACATCGAGCTCAATGCTTCGACAGCCCATCTTCAAAGCTCGAACGTACCCGTTAATGTCAGCCGGCCCCCTGAACTGGTCCTCGATGAGATAGGTGTTGTGCGAGGCGCTGATGTAGTAGTGAGATAACGGCTGGGTCATATCCTGGGCAACCTTTTTTTGCTCCGGATCAAAAAGGTCACATTCCGGTGACAACAAATACTGGGTAAAGCCGTCGATGGCAAGGAATCCTTTCTGCCGCCCCTCTTCAGAAAGCTCGTATCTCCGAATGATGTCCAAGCACATATCCTCAGTGATCTGGGTGACTCCTTGCTCGGCTTCTAAAAAGAGCATCAGGTCATTGGCGTCCAGGTACTCCTTGTTCTTAGAGATCTGTACAAGCAAGAAATACACTTCCGGCCTGGTGCAGAGTTCACAGAAAGCCTCGCAAAACTCCTCCTCCGTCACGCGGGTGGTGAGCTTCTCCTTGCTCTTCTGGATTTCCTTGAACTTTAACCTGATCTTGGATTCCTTCAGGGTGGGGTTGAGTTGTTGTATCAACTCCACCGCAGTGTCCTCCAACATGATCCCATTCCCATCCACGTCTGCTGCCACAAACACCGTTTTCAGCCACATGAACCTGGGCGTGTTCTGGTTGCCCTCCATGAAATCGAGGGGCTGCTTGCTTCGAGAAACCAGGTACCGTAACCCCGACACCCAGATGTTTGCCACGTCTGCCGAGTGAGCCACCAGGTCCAGAGACTCGTAGTTTTCCCCGTGGAGAATGGAAAAGGCACAGTCCTCGCAGATCTGGTCAGCGAGGCCATTGTTCCTGAATGTTTCCGTGTTCTTGCCCAGCCTGATCTCTTTGACGGCTGAAATGTCGAGCTTGGCTTTCTCCGGGTCCTTCTTGGACGGCTCCCAGCGGAGAGCGAGGAGGTCGGTGTCCAGGGTGAAGAAGCGGTTGTAGATGCGCGAGTTGGGCCGCACCTTCTTGAGCTCGCAGCCGGCCTGCATGAAGCTGATGCAGTCGCTGGCGCTGCTGACCTTCTTCTCCGACGGCATGCTGCTAAAGGACACGGTCTTCTTCCGGCCGCCACCCTTCTGGTTCGCAGGATCCTGCAAAATAATTGGGAAATAATGAAGCCATGGCCTTTAGAAAACAGGGACCTTCAGTAACACTCGGTGGACTCCTCAGACTCTATTCAGATATGACGGTTGTCTGGACGGAGGCTGGCCTAGAATGTTCCTCTCCGTTGTTTCAGAAAAGGACTGCTGAGAAAAACTGTTGCTATTCGGTTCAGAAAAAAAACTTATTTTTCAAATGCCTGCGTGTTCTTTGAAGTAAAATCAAGCACTATTAAGCTAACTGCAAATCACTCATTTGCTCATTAAAGCAATTTCGTAAGAAACTCTACATGGCCGTCTGACAACCTAGCTACGTCCATGTAGGTGGGTGAAAGAAATAGAGCTGGAATTCTTTTTAAAGTTTTCCTTATTTGTACTTAGCAACCATTTAAGTTGAATACATAAAATGAGTTCAAATAAAAGATTTTAACCTTAACATATTTTACATTACAAAATGGGCTTACACTATAGCTTAACTAAGGATTATTTTTTCCCTCAAACTATTTTGAAGAATATGAGGGTATTGAAAGTCAGATTGAGAGCTAACAGTGGACAATAACTCCCGCTTGAGTGAATTTTCAGACCGAGGTACACAATTGAAATGAACATTCTGAGAACTGCACCTACATCTCAGTCTACTGCTATTTCTTAGCAGCCCCAGCTTAGAACCAAGCAGCTACATGACTAGCTCCACTAACTTGTAAGGTCCTTCCAATGGAAGTTAAGTCTCAAAGCCTTCTGCCATAGCTATCACAGGGAACACGTGCACCCTGCCTTTCCCCCAGGCCTGTAAGTGTGCTTGGAACTTAAGTCTCTGAAACCCGGTCTCCTCAACCCATTTCACCCTTCCCTACACAGCATGCTCATTTCAACCATTCAGATTAGTGTATCTTATACAGGTCAATTCTTTCCGTGGCTATTTCCCCCTTGGGTGTATCCAGGCCTTCTTACTGTCGTTCCTAAGTTATACGTCCAGTCCTCTGAATACTCTTCATTATGAGATGATGGACATCATCTGAGTCCTAGACTGTCCACTGTGTCTATCACTCCCACTTCATTGTCACTGAGCAACTGACCGATGCCACTTAAAACAGGGTATTTCTTTACACGTTCCTCTGTTCAGACCATGAACTGAAGTTAATAATGCTCCCAACCACATCGTCAATTCAGATAATTCTCCCAGGAACAAACTTCCCAAAAGCACCTTCATGCATTTTATAGTGCCCAATTTTGTAAGCATATAAAGAGGAGAGTGCACAAGGAGCAAAAGTAACTAGTCTCAATTGTCGTTATTCCATTCAGTAGTATGACCTTTGTAAGTCACTTAGCTTCCCTCTCTCAGTCTTTATTTCTGCTTTAAGTAGGAATGGATAATCCTTCTCCACAATGGACTCAAGAAAGAAAATGCACATATATTCTTTGTAAACTGTAAGTGCTTCTAAGGTCATTCTTTTTGAAGGAAGAGGAACATTTGCTCATACATGTGGTCATTGGAGGCCCATCAGTAGGCACAGACCGGGACATTGTAGATTTTCAAAAAATTATTCATTCTGACCTCTGAGCATCTAAGACAAATGCTCAGTAATAAACTAAACGTATTTAAAAACAGCCGCATGGTCCTGAAAAGTATAGCCAAAGTAGTCCAGGCTGCCTCCTTCACCGACATCCTTTACAAGGTTAGAATGTCTTCACTAAGGCCTCATTTAATTGTGGTCTTGCCTGTAAGAACCTCCCTATCCAATGACTTGGGAAAAGGCACAATGATTTATTAGTCCATTAACTACAACCTTGCCTGTGAAAAGGAAACAAATTTTGCTTTAGTTGTAGAATGTTGGTGGGCTGATCCATGAACTCAAATACATACCTTTTGTAAAGTGACAAAGATATAAATTACCCAATGTAGATGACAGACTCTTGCCTCTCAGTGCCCTGGCATTGAAGAACTTTGCTCCTGCTTTTTCAGAGGGTTGTTATTTTTAATTATCCCATCGTGGCCAAATTCCTCATCCTTAAGTTAAAAACAACTGTTTATACGCAGAGGCGCTGTTAGAACACATTTAAATTCGTCACAACCCACACGCTCGGGAATATCAGATGTTTGTGTGTATTTTTCCACACCATCAAGGCAGGCACCTAATGGCACTGCTGAGATGGGATTAATCTAGCAAGTAAACTTGAGAGGGAAACTGTGAATTGTGAGGGTAAATTAGACGGTGACTCAGCTTTTAGAGCTACCATTTGACTAGTCATTTAAGCTAATGAGAACTTTCACATTAAAATTTATTTTTATGTAAGCAGGTCATGTTCCAAATAAGATTATTGTCAACAGAGTTATAAAACCTCTAATAGTTCCTAACAAACTTCAGATGGGAAATTAGTGTTCCTCTAAGTGCAAGTATATAGTTCCTGTACCCTGTGCACTATTATGCGTTATTACGCCAACCTTCACTCTATCTGACGCTCTACTTGTGATTTGAGCCACCATTTGTTTATGAGAACAAAGCTCCTGCTTTCAGAAGAGATTTCTCTTATAAGCCTCTCTTCTTTGTGGCGAGAGCTCCTTAAATCTCCTTAAGTCAAGACATTTTCTCTCCTAGTAAGTTAAGCCTCCCAGAGATGAATGTCTTATATCTAGCCTACAAAAGAATCCACCTGCCCTTATAACACTCGTTTTTTGCTTTGACTTGCAACTTCTGCATGATTATAAAACGTATCCCAAAAATGCCTTAAAACTTGGAACCAGAGGAAAAGATATGATCTGAGATTGTCATTTCACAAAGGACAAAATCCAAAATTATTACAAAGCCCCAAATGAGCAAAAAACTGATCATAGCACATGTGAACTAATAATTAGCTTGTCTGCTGTTGACTAGAGCCAAGATTATTTCTATTCAAAATATGCTAGAAGAGTTTCAGGACTCAGATTCCTCTAGGTCTGCTCTTTCAGGGTCATACTATGCAATGGCTCTGAAGAGTCTGGAGGAGGGAAAATGAAACTGTCAGAATGGACAGGGAGGATGGATGACTACAAATCTCCTTCTGAGCGTCTTCGCCACCATGGCCCCTTTGCCAACCCCCATACCCTCAAATATTTTTTACCCTCAAGAAGATGTTGGTAGGTTGGTGAAGGAAGACTGTTCAGGTAAACAGACAAGGGATATCACCAACTGAAAAAAGTTGACATCTGGCCCTAACCGGTTTGGCTCAGTGGATAGAGCATCAGCCTGCAGATTCAAGGGTCCCAGGTTCGATTCCGGTCAAGGGCATGTTCCTTGGTTGCGGGCACAACCCCAGTAGGGAGTGTGCAGGAGGCAGCTGATCGATGTTTCTCTCTCATCGATGTTTCTAACTCTCTATCCCTCTCCCTTCCTCTCTGTAAAAAATCAATAAAATATATATTTTTTAAAAAGTTGACATCTGGGTTATAAATCTTCCTTCTTGATAAACATAAAACATACTGGATGATGAAATGAGAACAAACCCATTGCAGTTATCTGTATATTGAGAAGACAGGCACTTTTTGCACTTTCCAAGAGAAACCAAGTTTATTCTCAGTTCAGGCATGCTCTTGTGAGCTTTATTAGATGATTGAATTGTCTCCAGTAATCAGAAGGCCTATCCAAAAGATTACTATAAAGTGTGGGAGCTTCCTACTTATCGCAAAGCTAAACTTTCTCACTCTAGAGTTAAGGGGAAAGGCTAAAGTGCCAATTCCCTCCCCACATTTCTCTTAGAGCAGCTTCCAAAAAGTTTAAATTTATTAGGATGAACAGCATCTTGTGAGAGGTCCCCTAAATTCAAGCTTAGCCTCATATTCTAGGGGGTCCAAGAATAAGTCTGGCATGGAGCGCAATCTTATTTCCTAACATTCTATGTTTAAGTTTCCAAATTATCATTTCACAAAAGGTATCACCTTTAAAGAGGTTAAAAAAATAAAATAAATAGCCCTAGCCGGTTTAGCTCAGTGAATAGAATGTTGGCCTCTGGACTGAAGTGTCCTGGCCTATGGCACATACCTAGATTGCAAGCTTGATTCCTAGCCCTGGTCGGGATGCATGCGGTAGGCAACCAATCAATGTGTCTCTCTCACAGAGATGTTTCTCTCTCTGTCTGTCTCTCCCCCTCCCTTCCACTCCAGTGAGGTTTAACAAAATAAAAATAATAACAATAATAATAATAATAATAAATAAACCAAATTTTGTTTATATGGTCTCTTAAGATTTTCAGTTAATACTTTTGGATCTATTGTTTTCTTAAATTAACCTATACTTTATATAAAGTGTTTAATCATCAGAATCAACAAGTCTCATAAATAGTAATGTCATAGACAAATGTTTTATTCTTATATTCTTGTTTCTAAAATATCTATATCATATCATAAAGATTATTTCTATCTAATCTCATGACGAAAGGGTTGACTTCAAATCTTAGAATAATTTCAAAATATTAGGGGGAAATGTACAAATATTTTTAAATTTTCATTTATTTTTTACATTGTTGCTTATCTACTATTAGGAACCATAATTAAATGATATTTCTATACAGCAGTGAAGGCTTTACGGCTCCCTAAACATATTTTGTTAAACTAAAATTGAACAAAACATAGATACATTCAAACTAATAAGCTTATTTTCCTAAGTTCCCACTGGTTTTTCTCTTTCTACGACCAGTTTAGTTGGATATGCTGCAAGTTTCTTGACAAAAACTCAACAAACAAAATCTCTATTCTTCACAACACACAACACTGCCATTCAATACACGCACAGCTTTGGGTCTCAATCATGAAACTGAACTATTTTAACATAACAATTTCAGGAAAAAGTATACTGAAGCAGAAGAAAAAATAATTGAATGTAGCCAACACCAGAAATGTACACTTAAAAATGGTTAAAATGGTGGATTTTATGTTATGTATATTTTATCACCAATTCATTCTGGTTTTATGCACTTCCAAGCAAAACTCAGAAACAAAAGGTTGGTACATAAAATCT